AACTTGTTAAGTTTAATATCATATAGATATGATAAGAGACTTTATTGTAAGTACATGAAACAACACGTTAAGTTAGAATTCAGATGTATTTATGACAATATACATAAACATTGGTATATCTAGCTTATAACCTAAACATATTTTAATCCTTTATTCCATTGACATTTTCCGACAGCACTTCTCATTCACAGGCGTTTTTCTTGATAAAGTAAGTAACCTACAATAAAAAGAAATGTTACAAAATTATAAATATTCAAAGATGAGATACAAATGCTTTCACGATTTTAATATAATTACTTTTTAGGTTTTAGGCAATTATTGTGTGCAAATAAATTCATTAAAAAATAGATTTCATGTTGCTTTGCCTGCAGCTGCTTGTTTACGTTTAACTTCCCAATTATGAATGCGTGCTATGTTCACTTCTGTCATTGTAACTTGATCTTTTAGGAAATCTAAATCATGCTGTACATAACCCATGTTTTTCGTTGCTGTTTCAATATTTTTTTTCAACATTTCTTGTGCTTCATCAAGTGTATACTCTAACATAACATTAGCTCCTAGCCATAAACATACTTTGTCGGTAGGTGGAATAAGAGCTTTTGCGAAAACTTGTTCTGATAAAAGGAAGTGAGTTTCTATATCTTTGTTATTGGTGCTCTCTGATTGTAACTTTTTAATCATTTCCAATGATTTCTCTAAATCTACGATCTTTGCTTGCAACCGCCTCCTTTTGTGAATCAAGTTGTATTCCATGAATTTATATTTGCCATTATTCTCATCCAGCATCTGGAGTACTTTGTCTGCTGATTTATTTCCAGGTTCTGCCATGAAAGCGTCGACATCGTCCTAATTGTAAAAAAAATTACGTATAATAGAATACATTTCAGTTACAGAGAATTTGAATGTCATGGGGTCTATTCCCTTTATGACCATATAAGGTTTGCATTGTGAAAGTGTATATTCAAATTATTTTATAAAGTGTTCAAAATCTTTACAAAATGTAACGATTAACAAGGATATTGGTATTGATTCCTTTTTTCTTTTTAAAAGAAATTATATTCACTGATCCGTTAAAAACATACCTCGTAGCAAAATGAAATTTGAATGTATAAAATACATCAAATAAAAAGTAACGAAGATTCTTAATTTCAACGTTATACTTACTACAAAGTCAGCCTCCGGTATTCCGGCATACGACTTTTTCTCTTTATCCAGTCCAATATCGGAATCTTTGCCACTGTCTGCCATTTTGAATCAAGCGAATAAATTCTTAGAGCATGCGGTCATTTATATGCAGGTTTCTGTGATTTTAAATATTATTAATATAATTATAATTTTAATACGTATACATTCATTTAATGCTACCTTCGTATCAAACTAAGGTATAAATTTGTTTAAAAACAAAACTTACATATAGTTTAAAATTATCCTTTTGCGTAAAACCGTATAACTTGATCAGGAGGTAGCGTCCTCTGGTGGCAAAATACAACGATAACATCCAATCTAGGTATTATTAATTCTATGATTGATTAATAGATACTGTAATGCTATTTGTCCAATTTAAATAAATAAAATAAATACGTAATACAGAGACGTAACAATAATGGAAATCATATTGCAAATATTTATTTATATTACGAATTTAAAGGGTACACTGACCTTCTTATATTTTATGCTTATTCAGAAATACGTCAGAAAATGAGATTGATCTTATTGTTACTAATATTACTTTACCAAAAAAAAATACTTGTATATATAAATTGGAATCAGAAAAGGCGTTAATAAACTCGTGTTAAGAAGCTTTTAAATTAATAAATGGGTATTGTACTCGTTTAAGTGTTAGAAGAGCAATTGAGTTGTAATTAGCTGATAATGATAACAATTATCAAGAAATGCAGAAAACTATAATTCAAGGTGAACTTTGTTCTTCGAACACTTGTACATTTTATTAATTACGGATAATTGTTTTCACTCGCAATACTTGTTTTCTTAAAGTATACTAAAAAGAAGTGCATTTCTCGATAATACAAAACAAAATCATATAGATAAATATGTACACGCTTTCAAAATATTATACCCATTCCACATGTTCCTATTATTTGAAAATTGTGAAACAATGTTAATAAGTTGGTTTTCCCTTTTCCCTAAAGATGAAGATATTTCTTCTTATTATAATCGCTCCTTCGGCCCTCTTCCAGCGTACGTTTCCATCTAAATTAACCGTCCACCCGCACCCCGCATATCCGATCGCCGTACACGGACGGACAAACCGACATTACATTTACGATTGACGCAGGGCGCATTCCTCCTCTTTGATACACTTTATTGGCCTAATAGAGCCGAATTGTTGCTGTATCGTGTAAAGCAGGGTAAGCCCCTGTACTATCCGTCTAGACGTCTTATAGAAAAAGAACCTCCCTTTGTCAATTGATTACGTTGTATGCAAAACAAACGACAAATCACGAGCACGCGTTAATTCGATTCAGTGTATTATTGTACTTTGAAACATCGTTTTCCTAGTTAATCTAGAAATTCGTAAACGTAACAAAATGATTAATTCAGATCCCCGTCTTCCATCAGCCCCCCTACGCATCGTTGATCAAACTAATTCTCATCTATGGGGTTGAACGAACTTCTACTAAGATCTATCGTCGAACCATTAATCTTACGTTCTCATAAAAGAAGAAATATTCCTTTAAATTTGAAAGACTATCCCAGTCTCAAGTGCACCATCGTCTGATCAACCTCTGAACTTTCTCCCGTTTAGATCTATGCTAGACGAAGGATAGTAAATGCTTAATAACAGCTAATTCGCGAGCACGAAAAATCACGGTAACCGAGCGTCTCCGACGTGTCGAGGATAAACTAGCTCTAATCGGTGCGCGAAATAGGCCCGGTCCGCGGCCAGATAGAGAATAATGTCAACTTTCTCGTCCAGCACGAGCGTAGAATTAGCCGGCTAGGACAGATTAAGGATGTAACGTTTGTTGTAGGCGCATAGATCACGATGATGACCCGTAACGAGTACGTGTCGAGCGGCAGGGCGATCATATGGGTACGGGGTACACCAAACAGGAGTGATCCGAGTGAGCGAGTGACTGAGTGAGTTGGAGGTCGGAGGAGTATATTGGCCATTTCCGCAGGAAGCCCTAGGTAACCTGTAACCGCCATTGAGGTTGGAACTAACGTGCCACAGATCGCTGTCGTTTCATAACAAGCCGTACTGAATTCGCCTGCTCGCACCGCCGACGCGTTAATCGATTGATCTTCGCTTTTTCTGCGTGGAGGCGGCACCGTGCCCGGCCAGATTAGAAAATGCGATCCTTAAATGCGACAATAAGACAGCCTCAACTCGAGTTCCTTTTCGCGCATGCACGTTACGCTATCGTCGCAGCCACGGTCTCTTAACGGTAGATTCTCCGAGCCTACCGATTTCAGCTTTCACTGTCATTAACAATTAACGTCGCCTTCAACGCGTCGGTGACCTCAAATCGAATTACTATACTTCATTCCATTGAACGATGATTATTCGAAAACTCTTCTATATTACAAGTAACATGCAGCGACGTTCGACAAGATAAACCTGTAATAACGCAATTCAATTACATAACTTGATATTCGATTATTTTCATTTCGTGCAGAATTCAATGCGTTAAATCATATTTATCCTTCATCCTTCAATCCTCCAAGTTTAAACTCGCGCTAACAGTCTAGTGCCAATGTTCTTCCATCAGTTCAGCTCAGCGCAAAAAGAGGGTAATAATCTTTTAAACGCGTGGCAGGATTATAGCACTCGTCCGTGCTAGATACGTGACGTACCTACGTTAAGAATTCCAGCAGCTTCTTGCTGGCCGGGCGAAGAACAGCGTGCTGCGGCTGTCGTTCCGCGCGGCGGGACCGAGTTCAGGGAAGAGTAAAATTTTATTTTCAAATCGTACGGTGTTTACGTCGTTATCTCCGTCGATCGGCGTCCGTCTGCTCCCGCGTGTGATGGATGGTAGAATAACCGCTCCGAGGAGGGGCTGCTAGCGCGAAGGTAAAACGCTGCTCCTCATCGATCCGATAGATATGCGTGCCGTCGAAGAATGGATTCAGTTCGGGTCATCGGGAAGAATGAGCCGAAGCGTGGCTCCGCGGCTGACAATGGTGCCACGAATAATGGCGATCGCCTCTTGTCCTCCGCAGATTTAATCTGCCCAAATGAGTCATCCTGTTAACTCGGCCGCCGTTAAAAAGAATCGGAGAACCCTTTCGGGCGAACAGAACTGCGACTCTGTTCGCCGGGGAATCCACATGGTCCAAGTAATTAGCGGAAAATTCGGATCGCCTTCACTCGGAGAAGAGGGAACCTGTCCCGAGTTGACATTGGCATCCCTTTTCGGCCGCACTGTCAACAGAGCCACGTCCGTTCTCGGAGGGTGTCAAAATGATGCGTGTGTACAGAAATTTTTAGAGACGATGCGGCTCTTCGCCGAAGCGTCAATATGGGAAGTATTTGTTCGAAGCTGGCCTATGAATTTGCTTTGTGCCATCCGACCGTATTGTGCGGCTCGGGCCTAACGCGGGAGAAGAGGGTGGTTGACTTAACGAAGTGTTCTTCAGCCGAGGTGTAATTCGAATTCAGTTTGCGCTTCGTCTCGACGTTTATTGTACGTTTTTATATACAGAAATTTGAACGTTTAGAATCAACTCTTTTGACTTGGACAGTTAAAATACATTCGTTGTAAAAATTGCCATTGCGTGTATCTGATGAAAATAAAATTTTTGAAATGAACCGTTTTAAAGTTAATGTCTTTCCCTTCTGAACAAACAGAGAACGTTAACCATATTATTAATTCGTACCTCTATATCTTTAGAGTAAGCAACGTATTTCATAATTCAAGTACTCGATACACTCGATTGGAATTATAGTTACGAATGAAGTATTCGGTTAATATGAATTTGGAATTGTGGACGTTCAGATGGTGTTCATGCAACTAGAATGAAATACTGAGCGTACCTCGACTTCCGAAGCGAAGGGGTTACGAGTCCTCAAAGACGTCCCGACGAATTACATTTTTCGCAAAAGGTATTTCCCCATGTCTGAACGGTCCCTTTCTTTAGCGACGCGATCCGTGGCCGTTTGAACAATGCCGGCAACGTGGACAGTCGGTTCAAACGGCACGTGCGAATGTATGAATGAAAGTTTACGAGGATAGTAAGAACAGGTCAATCTGCCAATTGACCAACTGTCGGCCGGACCTGCACGAACAGAAGGTTCGGATCGTTCCTCCCTTCTGTTCGTCTTCGGCCGGTTACAGGCGCGGCGAGGCTCACGTGCACCGCTCCGAGAGCACCTACCACCACCGTAGAGAATTGGTCAAGCAGAGTGCAACAGATAAGGGTGCCGCTGGTGGGGGATAGTTGACTCTCTAGTGGCTACTCGGAGTCAGTTGCTCTTATGCTTGCCAGACATTAACAACAACCACGCCGGGCCATTGCTGCGTGAGCCTCGTGACTCAAACGTCACAGGTGACTCGAAACAATTTTTCGAATTCTCTCCCTTCCGCCCTGCGCGCAGGAAGGAACCAGTGAACAGTTTTCCGTGATTGACGTTCGTCCGCGTAAACGAGGAAAGTGGTGGACTGGGGTTTCTCTCGATTTCCGATACTTTTGCCTTTGTGGATTACGTTAGTGACAATCGGGTGAAGAGGCGTCGAACAACGCCAGTGTAATATTGTCAATAAAGAATCCTTGGAGGGTGTGAATTTGTAACTGGACGATCAGAACTGAAGATCGAAGGTTCAACGTTTTCAGCGAGCAAGAGTAATAAAAAGATACAGTACAAAGCAGTATATTCAGAAAATTCAGGATCTTCGATGAGAAGCATTTCCGTATTCGTTTTTAAAGATCGCGTCGAGTCTTCCTTAAGAAGTGTCTCCTTGTGATACTCGACGGAAGAAGGCAATCTAGTCGTCTGACCGTTGATGTGATCGTTTTAGTGTGCGATTTTGCGGGTGGCTGTGATCCGAGGACGTTGTTTCCCGCGAAGGACAGTAACGAACGGGTCGAAATCCTCCGGCTCGAGGACCGACGAGAAGAATGTGGAAGAGGGAAGCCGAGTTTGTGCTCTGAAGTCTATGTTAACGTCGCGGAGGCTGTCAGGACCGAGAGAACAATGACGGTCGACAGTTAGATACTTCCCGCAAAAATTCCGTGGAGGGTGATCGAGGGCTGGTTCCGGGGGGGTTGTGGATATTATGTTAGCAACGGGTGGACTATGTGTGTTCCTGAAGGTGCTGGCGTTGGCGGGAAGCGTCTTGGCGCTCCTGCCAGAAGACTTCGAGGATCGGGCTGCTCCTGCCAACCTGCAAGAGGAATGCGCATCGAGATGCCCCGATCTCGACTTGAATCAGGTAATTGTTCCTTTAATACATCGAAGTGGACACTCGAAGAAGTCGTTGAAACAGCAGAAAGTTTGTATCGAAATATAAATATGAAGATTCCACTGAAACGGCACCCGAATGTTAAAGATATTTACTATACAGCTTGAGAATTGTCTTCCTCTGTCTACCGATAGATAATTTCTACGCGTTTCATAAACACGCAGTAAACGTTCCGCGCTCGGAATGCACGTGATCGGTAATTATCCTCGAAAAATGGCACATCTCGGGTGAAATAAAGCAACAAACGACTCGGGGTATTCGGCGGAGTTAACAAGGTGACAGGTTACGGACGTACGAATGCCAGACGTTCGGTAACGAAACAGATAACCAAGAATTTCGACTCGCGCCAAACAGATCTATAAATTCGAGGCGTTTTTATCGCCGGGCGTTTTCGTTGGGTTTTATCAATTGTTCACGATTAGCCGCGTTGTTATTAGACCCTCGTGTTATGAAAGTGGCAACAGATAAATGTCACCGAGATTATTGCGTATAGGCCGCGGAGCAGTTTGAAAAAGAGCGTCGAGACGCGAGCCGGTCGCTAAATTGCCCGTGAAATGCGTGCCATTTTTACCGTGACGTGTTTTCCTCGTATGGGCGAACACGAACTCCGCACTGTTTACAGCAATAAATAATCGCAATCGTCGGAAAATTTGCTTATCGCCGCGATTCCCTTCTCCGGGGAAGAGGTCAACGCTGCCGCGTGGTTCACGTGAAACCGAAACGGATCGGGATGCGTTCGCGATGATCGCGCGAGCAGCCGTTCGATAGCCTCTCCTCCCGGCGAGAGGTAACGATTAAAAAAGTTTCGTTTGTTGTT